TCATCATCATCATCATCATCATCATCATCATCATCATCATCATCATCATCATCATCATCATCATCATCATCATCATCATCATCATCATCATCATCATCATCATCATCATCATCATCATCATCATCATCATCATCATCATCATCATCATCATCATCATCATCATCATCATCATCATCATCATCATCATCATCATCATCATCATCATCATCATCATCATCATCATCATCATCATCATCATCATCATCATCATCATCATCATCATCATCATCATCATCATCATCATCATCATCATCATCATCATCATCATCATCATCATCATCATCATCATCATCATCATCATCATCATCATCATCATCATCATCATCATCATCATCATCATCATCATCATCATCATCATCATCATCATCATCATCATCATCATCATCATCATCATCATCATCATCATCATCATCATCATCATCATCATCATCATCATCATCATCATCATCATCATCATCATCATCATCATCATCATCATCATCATCATCATCATCATCATCATCATCATCATCATCATCATCATCATCATCATCATCATCATCATCATCATCATCATCATCATCATCATCATCATCATCATCATCATCATCATCATCATCATCATCATCATCATCATCATCATCATCATCATCATCATCATCATCATCATCATCATCATCATCATCATCATCATCATCATCATCATCATCATCATCATCATCATCATCATCATCATCATCATCATCATCATCATCATCATCATCATCATCATCATCATCATCATCATCATCATCATCATCATCATCATCATCATCATCATCATCATCATCATCATCATCATCATCATCATCATCATCATCATCATCATCATCATCATCATCATCATCATCATCATCATCATCATCATCATCATCATCATCATCATCATCATCATCATCATCATCATCATCATCATCATCATCATCATCATCATCATCATCATCATCATCATCATCATCATCATCATCATCATCATCATCATCATCATCATCATCATCATCATCATCATCATCATCATCATCATCATCATCATCATCATCATCATCATCATCATCATCATCATCATCATCATCATCATCATCATCATCATCATCATCATCATCATCATCATCATCATCATCATCATCATCATCATCATCATCATCATCATCATCATCATCATCATCATCATCATCATCATCATCATCATCATCATCATCATCATCATCATCATCATCATCATCATCATCATCATCATCATCATCATCATCATCATCATCATCATCATCATCATCATCATCATCATCATCATCATCATCATCATCATCATCATCATCATCATCATCATCATCATCATCATCATCATCATCATCATCATCATCATCATCATCATCATCATCATCATCATCATCATCATCATCATCATCATCATCATCATCATCATCATCATCATCATCATCATCATCATCATCATCATCATCATCATCATCATCATCATCATCATCATCATCATCATCATCATCATCATCATCATCATCATCATCATCATCATCATCATCATCATCATCATCATCATCATCATCATCATCATCATCATCATCATCATCATCATCATCATCATCATCATCATCATCATCATCATCATCATCATCATCATCATCATCATCATCATCATCATCATCATCATCATCATCATCATCATCATCATCATCATCATCATCATCATCATCATCATCATCATCATCATCATCATCATCATCATCATCATCATCATCATCATCATCATCATCATCATCATCATCATCATCATCATCATCATCATCATCATCATCATCATCATCATCATCATCATCATCATCATCATCATCATCATCATCATCATCATCATCATCATCATCATCATCATCATCATCATCATCATCATCATCATCATCATCATCATCATCATCATCATCATCATCATCATCATCATCATCATCATCATCATCATCATCATCATCATCATCATCATCATCATCATCATCATCATCATCATCATCATCATCATCATCATCATCATCATCATCATCATCATCATCATCATCATCATCATCATCATCATCATCATCATCATCATCATCATCATCATCATCATCATCATCATCATCATCATCATCATCATCATCATCATCATCATCATCATCATCATCATCATCATCATCATCATCATCATCATCATCATCATCATCATCATCATCATCATCATCATCATCATCATCATCATCATCATCATCATCATCATCATCATCATCATCATCATCATCATCATCATCATCATCATCATCATCATCATCATCATCATCATCATCATCATCATCATCATCATCATCATCATCATCATCATCATCATCATCATCATCATCATCATCATCATCATCATCATCATCATCATCATCATCATCATCATCATCATCATCATCATCATCATCATCATCATCATCATCATCATCATCATCATCATCATCATCATCATCATCATCATCATCATCATCATCATCATCATCATCATCATCATCATCATCATCATCATCATCATCATCATCATCATCATCATCATCATCATCATCATCATCATCATCATCATCATCATCATCATCATCATCATCATCATCATCATCATCATCATCATCATCATCATCATCATCATCATCATCATCATCATCATCATCATCATCATCATCATCATCATCATCATCATCATCATCATCATCATCATCATCATCATCATCATCATCATCATCATCATCATCATCATCATCATCATCATCATCATCATCATCATCATCATCATCATCATCATCATCATCATCATCATCATCATCATCATCATCATCATCATCATCATCATCATCATCATCATCATCATCATCATCATCATCATCATCATCATCATCATCATCATCATCATCATCATCATCATCATCATCATCATCATCATCATCATCATCATCATCATCATCATCATCATCATCATCATCATCATCATCATCATCATCATCATCATCATCATCATCATCATCATCATCATCATCATCATCATCATCATCATCATCATCATCATCATCATCATCATCATCATCATCATCATCATCATCATCATCATCATCATCATCATCATCATCATCATCATCATCATCATCATCATCATCATCATCATCATCATCATCATCATCATCATCATCATCATCATCATCATCATCATCATCATCATCATCATCATCATCATCATCATCATCATCATCATCATCATCATCATCATCATCATCATCATCATCATCATCATCATCATCATCATCATCATCATCATCATCATCATCATCATCATCATCATCATCATCATCATCATCATCATCATCATCATCATCATCATCATCATCATCATCATCATCATCATCATCATCATCATCATCATCATCATCATCATCATCATCATCATCATCATCATCATCATCATCATCATCATCATCATCATCATCATCATCATCATCATCATCATCATCATCATCATCATCATCATCATCATCATCATCATCATCATCATCATCATCATCATCATCATCATCATCATCATCATCATCATCATCATCATCATCATCATCATCATCATCATCATCATCATCATCATCATCATCATCATCATCATCATCATCATCATCATCATCATCATCATCATCATCATCATCATCATCATCATCATCATCATCATCATCATCATCATCATCATCATCATCATCATCATCATCATCATCATCATCATCATCATCATCATCATCATCATCATCATCATCATCATCATCATCATCATCATCATCATCATCATCATCATCATCATCATCATCATCATCATCATCATCATCATCATCATCATCATCATCATCATCATCATCATCATCATCATCATCATCATCATCATCATCATCATCATCATCATCATCATCATCATCATCATCATCATCATCATCATCATCATCATCATCATCATCATCATCATCATCATCATCATCATCATCATCATCATCATCATCATCATCATCATCATCATCATCATCATCATCATCATCATCATCATCATCATCATCATCATCATCATCATCATCATCATCATCATCATCATCATCATCATCATCATCATCATCATCATCATCATATCATCATCATCATCATCATCATCATCATCATCATCATCATCATCATCATCATCATCATCATCATCATCATCATCATCATCATCATCATCATCATCATCATCATCATCATCATCATCATCATCATCATCATCATCATCATCATCATCATCATCATCATCATCATCATCATCATCATCATCATCATCATCATCATCATCATCATCATCATCATCATCATCATCATCATCATCATCATCATCATCATCATCATCATCATCATCATCATCATCATCATCATCATCATCATCATCATCATCATCATCATCATCATCATCATCATCATCATCATCATCATCATCATCATCATCATCATCATCATCATCATCATCATCATCATCATCATCATCATCATCATCATCATCATCATCATCATCATCATCATCATCATCATCATCATCATCATCATCATCATCATCATCATCATCATCATCATCATCATCATCATCATCATCATCATCATCATCATCATCATCATCATCATCATCATCATCATCATCATCATCATCATCATCATCATCATCATCATCATCATCATCATCATCATCATCATCATCATCATCATCATCATCATCATCATCATCATCATCATCATCATCATCATCATCATCATCATCATCATCATCATCATCATCATCATCATCATCATCATCATCATCATCATCATCATCATCATCATCATCATCATCATCATCATCATCATCATCATCATCATCATCATCATCATCATCATCATCATCATCAATCATCATCATCATCATCATCATCATCATCATCATCATCATCATCATCATCATCATCATCATCATCATCATCATCATCATCATCATCATCATCATCATCATCATCATCATCATCATCATCATCATCATCATCATCATCATCATCATCATCATCATCATCATCATCATCATCATCATCATCATCATCATCATCATCATCATCATCATCATCATCATCATCATCATCATCATCATCATCATCATCATCATCATCATCATCATCATCATCATCATCATCATCATCATCATCATCATCATCATCATCATCATCATCATCATCATCATCATCATCATCATCATCATCATCATCATCATCATCATCATCATCATCATCATCATCATCATCATCATCATCATCATCATCATCATCATCATCATCATCATCATCATCATCATCATCATCATCATCATCATCATCATCATCATCATCATCATCATCATCATCATCATCATCATCATCATCATCATCATCATCATCATCATCATCATCATCATCATCATCATCATCATCATCATCATCATCATCATCATCATCATCATCATCATCATCATCATCATCATCATCATCATCATCATCATCATCATCATCATCATCATCATCATCATCATCATCATCATCATCATCATCATCATCATCATCATCATCATCATCATCATCATCATCATCATCATCATCATCATCATCATCATCATCATCATCATCATCATCATCATCATCATCATCATCATCATCATCATCATCATCATCATCATCATCATCATCATCATCATCATCATCATCATCATCATCATCATCATCATCATCATCATCATCATCATCATCATCATCATCATCATCATCATCATCATCATCATCATCATCATCATCATCATCATCATCATCATCATCATCATCATCATCATCATCATCATCATCATCATCATCATCATCATCATCATTGATATTATGACTATCAGAATACAGACGATTTATATCAGAAAACCATGGGTAAAATTAGTTTCTAACCAAGTTTCTATACCTTTATAAGTTTTGTTGTATTTAAAGCTTAGATCCTTGATATACTACGTACAATTTGAGCATTTGAACGTTAGAACCCTCGAGGTTGTAAATGAGAAGACAGAAGAAAAGTGATGGGTTGTTTTAGTAAAAACGAAATAATCATTATAGTCAACCAATTCGCATACCGGGGGTTATTAGCATTTCTCAAATAGAAAAACTACACATTGAGATTCTTCCAAAAATTATTGGATAGGAAAGTCTTTGATCCTTTCTGAGCCTTTTAGAGCTTCGTCGAAGTTCACCCATGGCCCGTTCTCACAATTTAGTATTTAATAATTGATTAGAATAATTAAAAAAGAAAACATGAAAATGTGTATGATATGTGTGTTGTTATTAGGCTGTTGCATTATATCCTACTTCATAGCTTGTATTTCATTAGAAATTACTTACTTACGCCTGTTACTCCTAATGGAGCATAGGCCGCCGACCAGCATTCTCCAACCCGCTCTGTCCTGGGCTTTCTTTTCTAGTTCCATCCAATTCTTGTTCATTTTTCTCATGTTTATTTCCATTTCTCGGCGTAATGTGTTCATTGGTCTTCCTCTTTTCCTTTGACCTTCAGGATTGCATGTGAGGGCTTGCCTTGTGACTCAGGTGGGTGCTTTCCTCAATATGTGTCCTATCCACTTCCAGTGCTTCTTCCTGATTTCTTCCTCCACTGGGATCTGGTTCGTTCTCTCCCACAGTTCGTTGTTGCTAATAGTGTCCGGCCAACAGATTCAAAGTATTTTGCGTAGACAACTGTTAATAAACACCTGTATTTTCTGGATGATGGATTTCGTAGTTCTCCAGGTTTCCGCCCCATACAGTAGAACTGTTTTGATATTTGTATTGAAAATCCTGACCTTGGTGTTGGTTGACAGACAGTTGTTCTGAGTTCCAGATGTTCCTCAGTTGTAAATTTGCTGCTCTTGCTTTGCCGATCCGCGCCTTCACATCTGCATCAGATCCACCGTGTTCATCAATGATGCTGCTCAAATATGTAAAGGTTTTTGCATCTTCCAAATCTTCTCCGTCAATTTCATTAGAAATTGCTTGAAATGAATATATATTACCATTTTCACCCAGTTACTGATTAGAATTTAACTTGAACATTCTTAGTTATTACAAAAATATATCTCAATAGTTTATATGTATTACCTTTAATGAATGAACTAATGTCAATATCTAGATTTATCTAAGTTTGTTCAACTTGTAATGACCTATTTTAAGTGAAAGTTGACATCAAAGCTTCAAATGGCAGCTTAAAATGTCCAATTGTTACAGTTACATAATGGGGAGTAAATCAATCAGTTATTTCGGTACGAAATGAATATTATTTAGACATTTAAGAAGAAAAAGCTTGAACTAGATCGTCAGGCGAAAGAAATGGATTTACTTTCAATTTATTCGCTATGGTTTTACAAACACATATTCTTATTGTTTAATGTCTCATATCAACTTGATGACGAAATACTGTGAAACTATTTGGTAGAATTCACTTGGTATTGTTTGGCTTGTATCTTCCCATTAAGGTTTAAGACTGCAATTGATCAGTCTGTTATTGGCATATGTGCATACTGTGCATATGCCTCGATATTACGTTAATTCACAGGCTATTTGTAAGCAATGATGGATAGAATATTATTAGGTTTTGTAAACACAAAATTGGCACTTTATAGTAAACCGTTAAAAATTCTTTATGCTTCACTCAATTATAAATAACGTATCACCATAGTATCAGTGCAACTCCTTGTGTATATGGAGCATTTTCTTTGTCATGGCTGGAGTATAACAGAAATTCCCCTAAAGTTAGTTTTTGTTGTCCAACCTGCGTTCAATATGTTTCACTGATGCCAAGCATCTCAAGGTTGTATCTTTTCATCTCTGCAGCAATTTGGAATACTCCCTTGGTCTCCTATATTGTATGAACATTCCATGTACCTAAATTAATGGTTATCAGTAGGGGCATCATCCTGGTAACTTCCGAAAAAAATTGGCTTCTTTACGAGGTGTCATAATTCTTCTAAATGAAGACTTTGTAGCAAGCCTATTCAACTTAGTGTATTATTTGTCTACTCACTGTGATTCAGACACTTCATTCACTATGTTAATTTCTCTGTGTGTATGATTGAGCGCGTATCTGCACATCAACCTTAATCTATTCTCCTATTGGTTGTAACATACAGATAATCAATAATTTATCCACACTTGATTGACACTCAAAAATATATTCGGATTTTTAAAACACACACACACACACACTCTCGGTTTCACAATGTGCTTGCTCGCTGTACGCTTGTGGATGTTATTTATCTTTAACAATAAGAAAATATCTCTATCACTGGTGTTCAGGCTTTTGAATAATCTCGAGTAAATCTATAATTCTACTAGGAGATTTAGCTTACCTTAAATACTCAGTTAACGGGAGATTATTTACTGGAGTCAGATATAGAGGAAATTCGCCACAACAACCTTCTAATTTTCAGGGCAAAGTTTAAATGGTTTGAATTATTTTTTCTGGTTATCGTTTTTTTAGCGACTTCGTTTTCAGTGGTGTGGGGTCGATAACCCCATGTCCAAACCTCCTCCTTTATCCGTGCTTGGAACCGACAGTAGTTCAAGGGGCGGCTTCAGGCGGAGTTAGTTTACTCCTGTTTAGTAATATATCTATTTTGACTGAAAGAAAAGCCTATATTTTAATGCAATACAATCTTCATTTGATCACAAATTGATGACTACCATTTTTTGTATGTCTTAATGTTCAGTAACATTGCATGATTCAACTTTTCTATGTCAACTAAAGAAATAAAACAATATAATTCGCGTTATATTCTGGTTTGATCTCATTTCGCTTCCTGGAACAAAGTTTAATTTAAATAAGGTCTATTGATTTCTATTTTGTCATAGAAGATAAATGATCTATGAAAAATTTATGGAACTTTTGATGCTACTTTTAGTTGTACGGTGACAGAGAAAAAAAAGTGAAGAATTATGACTTTTATTAGTTGAATTTTATAATTCAAACTAAGCTAGATCATCAATGAAAACTTGGAAATACTAGATGGCTGTTTCGTCCCAGTATAGAACTCCTCAACAATGTGCATCATGACCCCCATTTGCCATATAGAATCGGCTTTATCTACTCGGTTTAATATCTGAGATCGTTCACTGGTAAAATCTGTTTAAAGTAACTTACAACTTATTTATAATGAATCTTCAGTTAACATATTGGAACAATAATAAACTTACGCATTAATCAGTATAATATAAGAGTCACTCACTGTAATACAGACTTCAGTGAATAAAAGTACAATCAATGAGACTATAATTTATGGACGACCTTTGAGCGGTGCTATAGTGAGTGTGTCCATCTAATAACTAAGACCAAATGAGGGTTATAAACCATTTTAAGGAATAAAAATTGTGATTTACAGTTGATAGTTAAGGTTACGAATTCGATGTAAGGTTTTCATCACGACCTGACATCAGATATAATACCAAGCCTCTATTCAGCGAAATGGATGAGTGAATTATAGTCTCACCGTGCAATTTTCTTTGTTTGAAGTTATGTATTTCGATTGATAGATTCTTTCAATAGGTACTTAATCTTATGGTCATTATTGTATCAATGAGAATCAATTATCGTAGATTTCATCGATAAGAATACATTTAATACAAACTTGATGCTTTAATAGTTGAATTCAATTGAAGCTAGACCACCATACAAAGCCTGAAAGCACTGGATGGCCGTTTTGTTTTAGAATGGGACTCCTCATGAATGCGCATCCATGATCCCATGATTCGATACTAAGAATATACTTATGTTAGACAGCTGAATATGAGTCATGAGTCTGAAAATAGATCAATAAAACAACTATGCTGGTTTCTATAATGCAAATATACATCAAAATATTATGCGCTTGTAAGCAAACAATCCCAACGAAATCTTATATGGGTGAGTAAATTATAATAGTCCACAGTGACCAGGTGCAGTGTACCAACAGTCAGTCCCCAACCACAAGTGATGTATATATGTACATCTAATCAGATTACCATACCATATCAACTCAGCGAGATACTAGATTTTTTGTGGTGACATTATATAGTAAGAAAGATGTGGTATAGAAGAAATAGCTTTAAAAAATATGGATTTCTGGGGTCAAATCAATCGAAGATTATAAGGAAACTAAAATCCTAAGTTGTGACGAGTATTGAATGAATATACATAATTACAAACTATGTTGAGTCACATGGACTAAGGAATCGAATCCACGACCTCCGGTCTCTGACGAACGTTTAACTATTATATATAATAATAATAATATTGATTAGGTTCGACAATAGCAACCACATGCACTAGTATCCTTGTACTTCAGTAAGACGAATACTTTCAATAAAAGAAAAGCATCACTGATGGAAATGAAGTAATATATTCTATAGCTGAAGATAAGAGAACGGTTCTAGCTTCCAGTGGATATGAAAAGAGTGATTCATGTGAATTGTAGATAAAGTACAATCAATAATTTAACTGACCAATTTAACACAACCGAGTACTTGTTAAAAATAAAGTCAACGTTATGAATCATTAACAATTTGTAAACTACCAGAAACCATGGGTATTTTTTGTTCAATTCTTAATTTCAGCTAGTGAATAAAACTGATGGATGGTGGGGGCGATTTCGTGGATTCATTGAAATTAGACATTAACACCGTTGGATATCGGCTCAGTGGTCTAGAAGTTAGGCGTTTGCGCGCGAAATCGCTAGGTCCTGGGTTCGAATCTCGCGAGGATGGACCGAAGACGCACACTGTTGAAGAGTCACATACAAGAACAAAACGGCCCCGCTTCTAATATTTTCTCATTTTCGTCTTTAAATTGTGTTCAAGTTTTGTCAAGGAAGACTGTCATGTTAATCATACGTTAGTTTTTTTATAGATTTCATTTTATAAATATAACCTGTTCATTAGTATTTAGCCCATAATGAATCGAACTAAGTTTTAAGAATAATTACCAAAGCGTTTTGAAGTTTCACCTTGAATTCATCCATATTGATTCTGATTTGTTGATGAACGTTTAAGGATAAGGAAAATTTTGATTTAATTAGTCTATGGACATTGAGTAAACATTCACTGTTGTAATAAAAGTTTCTATCTTTGGTTTTTATAGTTTAATAGAATAATCTCTGACTCAATGTTTACATTTGAATCGGTCAATTATAAGCTATGGTCATGAAATAGTAAAGAATTAAAAGATTGAAAAATTCCATTACAAACAGTAAAACATAATGAATGTGGCAAGACTCTAATTTATGAACTAGTCAGTCAGTAACGTTTGAGAGATTTCAAGCTCACGGAGCTAATTTCAGTACCTCATGCCCAC